GTGTTAGGGCCGAACTTATAATTAAGAAGGATCTGTTTCAGAGTTTACCTTGGTACTACTCTCAGAGTTCTCTCTAACACTTCATTCAACAAATTACTGCACTATGTACCAGGTGTTGTTCTGGGTAGGAGCTGAAGACACATCAATAACCAAGCAAAGCCCCACCATAATGGAGCTTACATTGCAGTGATGGAGCAGACAGTATACAAACAGACAAGTAACTCAGGGTACATCCTGTAGTGACAAGTGTTATGGGAGATATGGTATTCCAGGGCAAGGAGGAGGTGGTGGTTTTCTGTACAGTAGTCAGGGGAATACTCTAATAAGGCATTTTCAGTGGAGATCTGAATGAAGAGCAAATAAATCATGGGGATATCCTGGGAAATATATTCTTAACAAAGGGAACAGCAAGTGCAAAGGGCTGAGGTAGGAACACACTTCGTTTATACAAGAAACACCAGGGAGGCGACTGTGCCTGAAGTGGAGTAAGCAAGAGGGGAGAGGGGCTGAAGGTCACTGCAAGCCCTGGATTTTTACCCTACGTGCACGAGGAAGTCATTCGAGGATTTGAAGTAGAGAAGTAATGTGCCCTAATAGGCTGATTCCGGCCCTGGCTGGTGTGGGTCAGTGGATTGAGCCTTGGCCTGTGACCCGAAGGGTCGCCAGTTTGATTCCCAGTCAGACACATGCCCAGGTTGTAGGCCAGGTCCCCAGTTGGGGATGTGCAGGAGGCAGCGGATGGATAATAGACGTTTCTCTCACACATTGATGTTTCTCTCCCTCTCTCTCTCCCTCCCTCCTCCTCTCTCTAAAAATAAATAAAATTTTAAAAAAAGAGAGAGAGATAGAGAAAGGCTAATTCTGGCTGCTGTGCTGAGAACAAACTATTGCGGGGCAGGGTGGAAAAGTGAGAGCAGGTGGAAGGCTAGTTCAGTTACCTGGGAGAGGGGTGGTCCTTGGTTGGACCAGAGCAGAGACGGTAAAAGCATTGGTGCCTTAGTCATCTATACATTTATTATCTCACAGGTTCTGAAGTTTAGGAATCTAGAAGTGGCTTAACTGGATGGTTCTGCCTCAGGGCTCTGCCTCTCATGAAGTTACAGTCAAGAAGTCATGGGTCTGCATAATCTGAGGCCTTGACTAAGGCTGAGAGGTCCTCCTCCAGGAAAGCTCAGGCACCTGGCTGTTAGATGGAGGCCTCAGTTTAATAGGGGACTCGAGAACTGGAAAATTTTAGTTTAAGTTATAGCTAGTAAGTTTAGTAATCAACGCACGTAAAAGGTATTTTTCCAGGAACTGAAGGTATGACCCACCTTTACTCCACCATAAACAGTTCCACCTTTGTGCCTCAGGAGGACTGTGAGCCAGTAGGACAGTGCCTGAGCCATTGTACTCCAGAGTGAGACACCCACCACCCCGGGCACAGATAAAGACCACCCCAGGGCACAGATAAAGATCACTCCAGGGCACAGATAAAGACCACCACCAGGGCACAGATAAAGACCACCACCAGGGCACAGATAAAGACCACCGCCAGGGCACAGATGAAAGAATGCTGAGGCTTTTATCTGATTAACTTTTTCCCAGAATTCCAAACCCCTTACCTACACTTTTCTTCTCCTTAAAAAAAGGGTTATTTTAAAATGGAATTTAAAGACAACTGTACTTGAAAAACAATAAAAAATAAATTAAAATAAAGAAGAAATTTGGACACATATATACACAGAGAGTAAGACTATGGCCATCTGTAAGCTAAGGAAAGAGGACTCAGAATAAACCAACCCTACTCACACATCAGTCTTGATTTTTAGCCTCCGGAACTGTAAGAAAATTAATTCCTTTTGTTTAAACCAATAAATTAATACATAATAAAATGGAATTTAAGAAGGTGTGTTAGAGTACATAACCTGAGGTCTTCTCAGGTCACCTGCCATCTGAATAAAGAGCCTATAAAGATTCAATCCCTGTCTCTGCTTATTGGGTCTGGTCGGTGCCAGGCTGCATGAACGCCGGCTTTTGCAGGTTCAAGTTCTCCCCCGCAGGGGCCTCTCCACAGGGCTGCATCAGACATGGTAGCTGTTTCCCCCCAGTGCAAGTGATGAAAGATGGGGAGAGAGGGGAAAAAGAAAAGATCCATGTTGCAGTGCCATTTATAACTTAATCGTGAAAGTGACATACCATCACTTCCGCTGAATTCTGCTGGTTGCACAGCTGGACTAGATGCAGTGTGGGAGGGGGTCACACAAAAGCGTGACTATTGGTTGGTGGGCGTCTGTGGGTGTCATCTTGGAGGCCGTCTACTACAGTTTGGGTTCTAGTTAGGTCAATGGATTGCATCAAGCAAGTAAGAAAAAGAAGGGAACCAAAGATAACTGTAGAATTTGGGGGGAAGTAGATGGGTAGAGGATGATCAGGAGCTATTTTGGAACATGTGATACTTGAGAGCCTATTCAATATTTTAAGTGCAGATGTCAAGGGGGCAACTAGATAAATACCTGAGTGTGGAGTTTCGGGGAGAGGGACAGGCTGGAAATAAGGGGCTTGTCTGTTTATGGGTGGTATTTAAAGCCTGAGCCTTGATCCAACCTCCAAGCCAGCAGAGGCAGACAAGAGAAGTGACCCAAGAGCTGAGCCCTGCGCTCCAGTACTTAGACTTGGAGAGATGAGGAGGACCAGCAAGGAGACCAAACTGGGACCAGGGAGGCGGGAGCAGAATCAAGAGTGAGGTGCCCTGGAAGTTGGGGAGAAGAAGCCACCTCAAGCTAAGTGCTGCTCAAAGACCAAGGAAGCAAGAGTAAGCCGCTTCTGGTCCTTGGCCACCAAGGGTGACCCAGATTTTTAAAGAAGTGTCACCAATGAGTAGGATTTAAGCAGGAAAACTACTTTGGATGAGAAACACTTTGGTGGTGGGGAGGCGATCTTGGGACTATGACAAAGAGGGGATGGGAAACTATGAACCCAGTCAAACATCGTTTCTTAACAACAGCGCATGGTGATTAAGAGCTGGTTTCATACCATGCTGGGTGGAAGCAGCCCAGATTCAAACCCTGGCCGCCGGCCCCTGAGCCCCGCTCTGTGCCAGTGTCCTCCTCCTTCTGCTGCAGAGGCCTCTCTGGGGGATTCCCTAAGCGCCAAGCGGGAGGAGGGGACCAACAGCAGCGTGGTCTGAGTTTTCCCTCTGCTGGCCTGCTGGTCGTAGGAGGCCTCAAAAGTGGGACTCGGAGCTTCTGAACCTGCCGGGCCGGGCCCACTTAATTTGGTATCTCAGTGCTGCTCCTGGCCAACGGCCACCAGGCGGTCCCGAGATGTGCCGCTCTCCTAACTGCAGTTTTAAAAGCCCGATGGGCTGCGCTTCTTGTCTGAATCCCTCTGCTCCTCTCTCTGGGAGGGAGGGCTCAGCGGGAGCCAGGCTGCAGACCACCCTCAGACTCCCACCTCATTGCCTATTCTTCCAGGACCAGGAAACCCACAAGTGGTCATTCTGAAGCTGATGTCGCCCCACCTCCATCCCCAAGACCTTATCTCAGGGCGGGGGTGTCGGAGGTCCCTGGGGCAAGCAAGAGGCAGGTAAAGATTTGACCTCTGAGCTTCTGAGCAGAAGACAGACGCCTCCATCTGTGTGGCCCGAAGCCCCATTTCCAGGGTTTTGTGAAAGTCAATCAGAAAATCACATGGTCTGTCCATGAATATTCAGCACTCCTAAACTTTAGTTCTGGGTTAGGTACTACAGGGTTTAGAAAATAAAACGGATCCTAACGAAAATGAAAAGTGTTCTCTAGAAGTTTATTTTATAACCACAGATCTCTGCAGAAACCTGCCTATTCAGTTATTAAATAAGGAAGGAAGGCCTGGACTGATTTTTATTCAATGAAATGTGGACAGTCTTTCCCCAGTGCGGTTCTTCTTAAGCCAATAATGAATTTTATAAATACTTGCCATAGAACAGTTAACTAAATAATGTTTACGGTATCAGGAGTTGAAAGCCATTCATCCAGGCGTTTAACTATTTAAGGAGACAAAACAAAAGCAAACCTGCTCTCTCTCTAAAAAAACAACTGTTACATACGATAAAGTTTCTAAGGGTGCTGATCATCAAAGCTCCACCCAGAGTGGATTAACATACTTGATTTTCACCTCTCACTGCTCAGTCCTGGCAATTAGCTGTGGGGCCCGCGACAGGCACGATCTTTCCAAATCTCACTTGTGAAATGGGGATAATGCTAAGAGTAAAATGAGAATATGTACAGGAAAGTGACTTCCAGCTTTAAAATTTTATTATGAAGGAATAATTATTAGAGTTCAATTAAAGAAATTTCTTTTAGAGACACATACTGAGGTAGATTAGGATGAAATGATGTAACAATGGAAATTTGCTTCCAAATAATACAGCAGGAACAGTGGGTTTATGTACACTTTGAGTATTGTGGAAGCTGGGTCACAGGTACATGAGAGGTTTTTTAAAAACTATTTCTGTACTTTTTGATGTTTGAAATTTTCACATTGAGAAGCAAGAAAGCATAGGGGATACTAGAGGGCAATTTCTATTATTAAGTCCAAGTTGATGAGCACAACTTCTCAAATAAACCTTGATAGCAAAAGAAATGGTAGTGATTTTAAATGAATGCCAAAATACATAAGAGTTGAAGGATTTGATCATTTGATTATGTTTTTTAAAACCTTTATTTTTAACTAGAGGAAATCCATTTTAATTAAATATTGTAGCAAAAATATATATTTACATAATTTAAGATTATGCATGGAATCTACATGTTTACCCGGAATCTTAAACACGTTAGGATCACCCCCAAATTTAAGGATATGTTAACAATTTTCTATTTTTTAAGAACCCACTGTTCTACTATACCTACTGTGTCATATAAAGTACATAATGACATATCAATATTTCAAATGATGATAGCTTTGATCCTTTTTTGACAAAAATCTACCACTAATTAACGGAACATGACAGCAGTAAGTACATAACATGCTCTCTTCCTTACCTTGAAGATGTGAATTCTCTAGGAAGTCTTCGTGAGATTCTTTTGTTTCTCCAGGTTTTGATGATCGATACTCACTTCTCAGAGAAATCTTCCACCATCTAAAGATGACCTGTGATTAAATAGAAGGTGATATGCATTAAAAGCGATTCCAAATGAACAGCTGTGATTAGGTTTGGGGTTTTGAACAATCACTGTGGTGGGCACATAGGCTGTGTGTCCAAACTTGCAACCTGGCATCACAGCAGATTAGAAGTGAGGTCTGTGCATCAGTGAACATTTCCCTTAGTGATTAGGGTCACAAAAGCAAAGAGTTGGAAGGAATCTTAAAAATTTATCAAGTCAGCACTGGCTGGTGTCGCTCAGTTGGTTGGAGCATCATCCTGAACACTGAAAGTTTGCGGGTTCAATTCCCAGTCAAGGTGCATACCTATGTTGTGGGTTCGATCCCCAGTAGGGACACATACAGGAGGCAACCAATCAGTTTCTCTCTCACATTGATGTTTTTCTTTCCTCTCTCTCTCTCTCTCTCTCTCTCTCTCTCTCTCTCTCATTTCCCCTCTCTAAAGACATCAATGAGTATGTCCTCAAATGAGAATTATTTTTTTAAAATTTAAAAATCTATCAAGTCAATTGATGTCAGAAACCACCCAGAGCCAAATGACTGTTTCTTGAAAATCTCTGAGAACATAGATTCTCTAACCTGGGGAGCCAATTCCAAAGTCCTTGCTCCACTCTCCACCTCCTTTCCCATCTACAGGACAGACAAGGTGAGAGAATACTTTTCTTCTAAAGAGGGACAATGACATGGACAGGGCCGGGGGAAGCACCACTATGCATTGTTTGACGCCCGACAGTGTCATTGCACGCGACACTTCTTGATGATGGAACTGCTGACAGTCCGTTTGAATTCTACAAGCATTTTGGTTTTTCTGAAGCAAACTTTGTTTCCATGGTTATGGACTACGCTGAAGTCCCATGTTGATTTCATGGCTGCCAACTGCCGGGCCTAATGGCAAGCCCCTTAAAAGCTTTTCCAACTTACTTCACATTTTCCGACCTGTAATGGAACTGGGTAGTTACTTGAGATAACAAAACTCCCACCAGCTTCAGCAACAAACCCAACTGTTTCTGCCCTAGGGCAGCCAGGGGATGTGACTCAGGAGGCGAACAGTGCAGAGAAGCCGCTGGGCTTCCGGCTCTGGGGCGGGCCCTCACTGGTTTAAGCAGGTAAGGGAAAATGAGGTTCACGCCAAACTGTTAGGCAGGTAAAGACCTGCTGTGGGGCCTCCCCCATCTTGATGTCTCTCCTCTTCTCATAAAGACACCAGTCGCCTGGATTAGGGCTCCACGTTTATGACTTCATTTAACCTTGATTACCTATTCAAAGGCCCTGTACCCAAATACAGTTGCATCGGAGGGTAGGGCTTCAACCTAGGAATTTCGGGGGGATGACATTCGGTTCATAACAGAGGGGTATCAAGTATTACAGTAGAAAGAACATGAATTTTGCTGTGAAAAAGACCTAGCTAATTTATTTAATCTCTCTGCACTTTGATTCCCTTTCTATTAAATATCATTAAAGTTAATATTATAAATAATATTTCCTTTCTATTGAATGATAATACCAGACAAACTGAATTTAATGGTGTTCTTTATACCACATAATCTAGAACTTTTAGAACTAATTGGGAAGTCAAATAATTTAGTCCTTCCACAACGCATACAGGTGAGGAAAAAGTTTCAGAAGTGAAGTCAGAAGCAATAGGTTTCCTTCCCACACCCTGACCTCCAGGAGCTGTGTTACAATGAAGGCGAGGCTCGGATTGAATTCTGCCCCAGGAAAGACATTTATCACCAGGCAGGCACCACTGGAGTCCAAACCCTGTTTCTGGAAGCTCAGTGGAGTCGCCCCACGCTGTCTTCTTTGGCACTCTCAGGGAACCCTTCCAGGAAAATTTTCCCTGGGCCAAGTGCACCTGTGATATAATGACATAATTAGCCAGGTCAAGCAACTAAATCCTTGATTAAGTGGATTCAGGAACAAATGGAGTTCTAGGCAGGGCGCTGCCCCAGGAACATTGTGTTACCAAACTTATGTTGTTCAAACAAAGGCAGAGTGACACTTGTACAATCTTACTTGTCAGCTTCGTATCTTGCACATCATTCACTGCATCAATGAAAAATTATTTCTGACATTCCCTATACTAACTCATTAACCCTCTGGTACTGATTCAGAGGCAGTATTTGAAGAGCTTGCCATAGGGGCCTCTGGAGGAGGATCCTCAAGGCCCAGAATGAAGCTAACTTGCCCACAGAGATAAGCATCCTGCTGGCTCCTCTGAGGTATTTAAATTGCGGATAAGCCAGCACTTGCCTACAGAAATATGACTGGCTACAACCAGAACCCGAGCCTGCTCACTCCTAACTCGTAAACACAGAGTCTGTTCTGAGGCACAAAGCTTTCTTTGCACACAACCTTCATACTACAGCTCTGCAGAGCAGTACAGAGATCTCATATGCAGAATTATAACGGGGCACAGCCAGGGCCCCCCCAAAGGGTATTTGTAACAGGATCCAGAGATTGGGGTGTCCAAGAAAAATATATTCTCCCCACCCCAGGGCGGGCCGCCATGGGGGATGGGAGCCTTGAGCAGGGCCATTGAGAGTCATTTTGCATGTCAATAACAGGATGGCTTCATTCCTCATTTGCAAAAAGGGTTATTTTTGCCTATCACGAAAGCTAATCAGGAAGGTTAAAGAAGACTTAGTACAGAATGTAAATGAGAGAGGGAAAGAGGAGAGACAGGGACCTGCAAGAGAGATAAAGAGACACAGACTGTGGGGAACAGTGTGAACACCACGCGGGAAGAAAGAGGGGAGAAAGGACTCTTGCTAGCGGGCCATGAGAAGGTGGCACATGGTTATGGATTAAGAGCTGGAGATCGCAGCGATGCAGCAGATGGTGCTGAGACCCGCGAGAGGCCTGCCTAGCCGAGCCTCGGACTTCTGTTCTTTTTCTTCTGAAGGATGGTGAAGGATGGTACCCCTGACTGGCCTGACTGGCCTAACCGGGCAAAGGAGGGGAAGGCAGGGCTGTGTGTGTGTGCGCTGGGGATTGTTTTAAACGGATTTTGAGGTTTAAGAGCGACATTTAGCCATTAATCAAACCTGTATAACTTTTGAATAAATAGTTCCTTTCCTTTTCACCAAAATCTGCCATTGAGAGCCATAATTCCAAGGGCAGCGGGCAAAGGACCTACAACCGAGGGACCCTGGGGAAGGGGGGTGTCGTTTCAGTAATAGCATCTTGGGCATCTCCTCACCATGGGTCCATTTGTTTGGTAACAGAATTGCAATGTAGCCTTGCTAAGACTTGATTATGTTCCACGTGCTATACTTCCTCAAACAGAAAAAGATACGAGACAGGTGTTTTCTACCACTTATTACTTCAGGTTGGTGAAGATTTTTTTGAAGTGACAGTACTCAATATTGGTGAGGAGAAGGAAAATAAGGTCCCTTAATGACCGTTGAAGGAAATGTGAATTAGTTTGGCAAGTTTGACCCAAGCCTTCTACGTGTAAGAGTCCATCCTAAGGAATTTATCAAAGATGTGTTCACGTTTTTTATGTAAGAATGTTTGTCATAGGTTAATTAGGATGATGAGTCAGAACTAATCTAAGAGTCCACTAGTTGGAACTAGTTAAATAATTATAGCACATTTAGATGCCGAAATACTCTGCACCCAACAAAATTTGTAAAAAAAAAAAAAATAGTAACATAGAATAACAATCATTTGCTTAAAAAGGCAAAAGCATACACATGGCTAATCCAAATACAGAAAGGAAATGGTCATATGTGCAGGGGAAGGGGCATCAGCGTGGCAGGCAATGCAACTGCCTCACAGGATCTGCAGCTTGAAGGAAGCTGAGCTCAGCTGTATCCCTCAGGTATTTGTGAGCGCATGCTGTTATGCATAAATAATAAATAAGCTTTTTTATAATAAAGTCATATACATATAAAGTTATCTATTGCTATTTCGGAAACTTTAAAATCTATAAATACAGTATTAAACATCTTGTTCTGATTGACTGTGAATGTTTGTTAATGAACATGCCTGCAAAAAAAGCTACAGAGGAGCTTCCCACAGTTTTTGCAAGACTGTTTTGATATGGCTGGACCTGGGCGTTGCTGTACTCTCCCCATTTTTTAAGAATCTCCCAACCACCTGCAGGCAATGAATGACTGTTTTTGTGGGTGGATTAGATAACTGGCACCAGCTCTTCCCATCAAGTTCTCTGTCACTGCCTCATACCTTCTGTTCAGGGAGGGCAGACAACCCACCTCGTTGCAGGAAACCCATTATTTGGTAGCTTGATAGAAATCACGTGACCAATGGTAGAGTTCTTTAAACATTTTATTTCTATTTAGCATGCTATAGTTTGTAAATCTATTTAATAAACTCAAAAATTGAGCTTGGTTATGAAAGAGAGGTCCAAGATTTCTCATTAATCTCTCGGCATCTCTCCTGCACAAATTATTAGAGCAAGATTACAAGGCATTTATTGTCCACCCAGTGAAGGCCCCTAAAGGTCAGGCCTTTCTCCTCACCAGGACAGCAGTGACTCACTAGGCAACCCTCAAGGGGGCACTGGGAAAGAGCACGCCCAGTTAGGCATCTCAGCCTCTGAGTGTATTTGGACAATGCACACCGCCACCCCTGGCCTGAGACTGAGCTTCCCACCTCTAGCCCTGGTGAAAAACCCTACTCCTGGGACAGAAAGCAGAGACTCCGGTGTTAGGCAGGTCTGTTTAAACCCTGGTCTCTGACATTTGCCTTAGGCAAATTTCTTAATCTCTTTGGCCTCAATTTCCTCACATCCAAAATGCAAAGAATGATGCCCACGTCACCAAAGTTTGGAGAGATGACAGGAGATAAATCCAAAGTGTCCAGCAAGATGCCAGATAAATGAAGTATGCTCCACAGAGATAGGTCCTTGCCTTTTTTTTTCTCCCTTTCCCCCCTTTTCACACACACTTCATATTCAAAACAGCAAACTCAACCCAAAATACAAGAGATAAGAGCCAAGTGTTTTTATTCTCATCAATTGT